TTCGTTCAAAGTCTATTATTTATCAGAGTCAAAATTATCACATTTTTTATTCACATTTATCAGAATATATTGGTATGAAGCCATATCATGTCACAACATTAAAACAGTCTAAATGAATCATTAATCTTAAGATTTATAAGTCCCTTGCACGAATACTGAACACATTTTAAAGTTCCTCTCAACAATGGGGAAAATAAATATCCTTAAGGAGAATTTCTCTAAATATCTCATAGAATGACACTGTCTTGTGAAGGATGCTCTTACATCTAATCGAAACAAACAAAAATTGAAAAAAAATGTAGTTTGAGTTCTTTGCTTGAAATCCGTCAAGTGCCAACGTGAAAAATCCATTTTGTGCTGCTTAGTTTGTTTTGTGTTGTTCTTACTTCAGGTAAAATAGGACAATTTATGTAAATTAAGAATACACACCAATTATCAAACTATTTGATAGTTAAGAGATTAAATAATGCTGTTGAAACTGGTACACTGTTGATTTTTTTTTGCGTTATTGAAAAATGAAAAGACTAACAAATATTTGCAAGGAAAACCCTTTGTTTTTATTCGGTTGGATTTAATCTGTATCGGGACTGTTCATGCATAATTGATATAGGAGGACATAAGGGCAATTTTTTAAAAATATAACTTGTAATTTCTGTAAGAATTTTGATATTTCATATTATTGAATATGCCATAGCAAAGAATTATAATTTTGCACATGGAAAGTTAAGAATATAATAAACATTATGAAATATAATTCTGAGATGAAACGCAAGTGATTTATAGGAATACTTTTTAGTCATTTATATGTAAAAGATATATCATGTTTGTGAGTTGAAATTATATCTTAACCTTATTAATACTAAAAAGTACATGTATAATCCATCTAATCATACTAGCCTTTAAAAGATTATTTTAAGATGAAAATCTTCCATTAATAAATAGCTATTACACATAGTAATATATTTTAACATGATAATTAATGTACTTAAATTGATTCCGTCTAACTAATGCCTATCTGTTGTCGGTTAGTATTTATTTGTACCTAACCATAAAATTCTCTTTAAAGAGAACAGCAACTTTCTTCAAATAATTGCATTTGAATTTAGATACAGATTTTTAAAAAAAATCATTACCCTTTGTCAATTGTCATCTTGTCATATGTGATTTAAAATAATGTAACAGGCAACATAATCCTGATGCAAAAATTGTGCTTCAAATGTCAAAACTCTACATTATTCCGATGCAAGGAAAGAAATTCTTGAATATCAATTTGCTTCAATTTAGGGGATTGAAACATGACTCATGAAAAACTCTATCGCCGCCCTGTTCAATGAATTGTAGCGTTGGGCCGTTAATGGGGCTACCCCGGGTTCGATTTTCGAACTTTAAATGTCATTTCGTTGTGATTGATTATAAAATCTTTTCTAAAGTCATTCGCATTCTGTCACTGTTCTGGTATGTACAGAGCTAACTAGCAGTTCCGTGCGAAAGCGAAAGTAACTAGTACTGGTAAACTGTTTTACACCTAACCTTGTAACATTCCATCCAATCAACAAACATAAAACAAAACATGATTATTTATTGTTGATTGGAATATTGAACTAAAACAAATTCGTATTATTTGTTTATGTGTGCTTAAAGCGGACATGACCCAGAATACAATATGCATATACTTTTATAGAAAATTCGATTATAAAATACGGTTAAAATGAACTTGTTCATCTTTCAGCTTATCATTTTTAAAAGGATTTTTTTGTAATAAATACTAACGTAATAGTTGACAGTGCAGATCAGCATCAGATAAACGTTCGTCTGCATCGGTAACATGGGTAGCATTTGTTGCCGACAACAGTATAATGGCTAACAGGAAAGATACACTGTCTGTACATAGGCTGTTTTTTTGTGTTGTTTTTTTAAATGACATCACTCTTATCTATTAAGTGCACACTAAACAGTACCTACTTTATAAAACATTTTCATTTGAAGACAATTGCTTAATTAAAAAAATGCTACAATACAACAATTTTCCACCAAAATTATGTGTAAGCCCGCGTGTTTACATGGAAAACTCGATTTTATGTAGTTCCAATGTTTTTCATCATTTTTTGTTAACCTTAACCTCATATAGACGTGTTTTTGACGGCTTTTCACCTTTCCCCCCCCCCCCTTTTTGAGGCCCAAACACTGTTTTTCGCTTGCGAAATGTTGTTAAAAAGTGATTGCCCCTATCAAAAAGGTACATCAAGGGGGTGTTAGATGGAATAATAGGCCCCCTAATCGCCAGGAAAGTTTTGGACATGTGACAGACTAGAAATGACCTCAGGTCTATCTTAAGGTAACATGTAACCCGCACTGAAAAGCCTTTTACTCTATCTCTATCCATTGAGAAGTTGCAGCACTTTGAAATGAGTTTTGATGGGGGAAAAACAATGCAAAATAGTGTTTTTTGGCAATTTTGATACGTCACCCGTTGCCGTGGTAACAGGAAATTTAAAATTGAACATGCTGTTACAAAGGCTATGGTTCAGGCAACATTTCATCAGTATAGAAGCATTTCTGACAGTTTCATAGCAGTTTGAACGTGTAAGAGGGGGCTTTTCAATGAAAACGGCCATTTTTCGCAATATGCTCATGCAGTAAAAGGTTAAGTTATTGTATCGTTAGAATATTGATCTTTGTGTTGTGTTTATTAAATAGTATGAATCAAACTTCATTTTAGGCTTATACTCATTGTTACAACGTAACATTGCTAGTCAGTCAATTCGTGTATAACGTAGTAAAATGGTTGAAGCAGGTCTAAGCAAATCTGAAGTCTGTAAATGAATTATGTATATAACATATTATTATCTAAAGTTAAGCTGTGTATGATTTTAAATCTACTACATGTATATTGGTATTTGATATTGCATTCACAAACCGCAGATATTTTAGAATTTTTTAAAAGAGTCATTTCAAATCTTACAAGGTATGTGTTCGATCTAATCAAGCAATGTTAACGATATTTGTTGTAAATTGAAATTAAGCGTGAAAAGAGTTAAGTTTCTTATATTTAAGATTGTTTGGTTCTTAAATAACAGATTGGTAACGTTGAATTATTGTACACATATCTTTTTCATCATTTATCATCGTAAACGCACGAAATTTGTGCGTATATATTGTTTTAATGAGCATGTTTCCGTTATACTTTGCCCTTTATGAAGCCATTTTAAATGACTATTTTTTTCAAATTTACACTATATTTGTGAAAATTAAAGCACACACAGAGTGTATATATTTTTTAATTTGACATATTGTATAAGGAGAAAGTCGTTTACAGAATTATGTGTCGTTGTGAAGCTGTCTGTTAAGTCTGGCAAAAGTTTGATCCCTCGAAAGTGATAAAAACAAAAATATCATATAAAAATTGTAGACTTGGTATTTTTGTGTCTGTTCTAAAAGATAATGTAAAAACTAGAAATGTGTCGTCAAGCAACGGATGCCCCCGCATGCAGCCAAAATTTCAGATGTTATAATATTTAGTTCTAAATTTGTTTGCACAAATTATTTTAAACAAAGTCCAAGACACTGGAACTATTCAGTGTTAACCTTTTGTAAATTGCATATTGCATATTTCTAGCAAAATTAATGGCTACATACATTTCCACAAAAGTATGAGTGCTGAAACTGAAAATTCAAAATTTTTCCAACATTCAAGGGAGATAACTTTGTCCAAAATCATTGAACCACAACCAAATTCAAACTTGAACTGCTTATTCCTAAGATGTATTTATATGTCAAATTTGACAAATGTGTACAACCATTGGGGGAGATAATGAACTGAAACTTAAAATTTCTGATTTTTTTTCAAAGTTCAAGAGGGATAACTCTGTCAGCTATCATCAATCCATGACCGAATTGGAAATTGACCAATGCATTCTAATGACATATCCACTTTTTAAATTTGAGTTGAATATGTACAACTGTTGGGGAGATAATGAATGGGAACTCAAATTTCCTTTTTTTCAAAGTTAGGCACATAACTCTGCCAAAAACATCACCGAACCATGGCCAAATTCGAACTGGACCTGCGCATTCCTTTGACATATCTATGCCAAATTTAGTTGAATATGTAACACTTTTAGGGAGATAATGAACTGAAACTGAAAATTTCATATCAATTTCAAAGTAAAAGGTGCATAACACTGCCAAAAATCATTGAACCATAACCAAATTTGATCTTGACCTGAGCATTCCTTTGATGCATCCATATGAATTTGAATTGAATGTGTAATACCGTTTGGGAGATAATGAACGGAAACTGAAAATTTCATATTATTTTCATTGTAAAAGGGGCATAAATCTGCCAAAAATCATCGAACCATGACCAAATTCGAACTTGACCTGTATTTTCTCATGACATATCTATATGCCAAATTTGAGTTTAATATGTGAAACCGTTACTAAGATAATGAACGGAAACTGATGATGACGGAATGACAGAATGACGGAAGGACGGAAGGACGGAAGGACGGAATGACTGAACAGGGTAACACTACATGCCCCAGCCATTATATGGCGGGGGCATAAAAACATCTATCATGCCCCTAGCACTGACTAAAGCGCTATCCAGTCTTCAATACTAAAGTGCTGCAATTAATGATCCCGAAGGACCAGAAATATATAACAACACTGAAGTGAAGCAGAACATTCATTATTTGGTATTCAAAATAGCGTCTCATAGATTAAAGGTGTTGAAATCAATGTTGTTTTTCATTTATTATTTTTTTTTTTTTTGCTTTTTTTAAATATCTATATATGCAAAGATGACAAAATTAAAGAGATAAATAATTTCAAAAAAATGATTAAGCTTTCTTCATTTTGACAACATTATATTTTTATCTACTTCATTTCCTTGCTAAATAGTTTAACCATCATTGAAGAAGACAACACGGTTACACATATAATAATATATCATTTATATTGTATAGTGACAATAAATAGTGAAATAAAAACAAGATCAGTACAATTATAATAATACTTTTATTCATTTCAGTCATCTAAATCTGAAGGAAATACACTTGATATAGAGATATTTGAACTATAAAAAGAAATATACAGTATGGGATGGTTTCATGATGGCTCTTAGCAATACAACAACATTATTTTGAACAACAATATTTTGGTACATTAAAGTTTTGTCTATTTCTTTTCGTAATTTGTTTGAAAATTTACCTAGTTTAAATTACTCTGAGATCTTCAGCCTCACAAAACATTTCATATATTTATTTTTAAAAGTACGAATTTCAATTTTTCTAGAAAATAAAATCACTTTACTGTCACTGTCAATCTACGTGCAACAGGTAATCTTAAGTTATTATGGTGACATTTATAAACAATTTGAGTTTTTGATTACCGTTGTTAAAGTTCAGTTCTAATTGATAACTATCCAACGATGATAATGTCTAAGGCTACAATTTTACAAAGATAAGTTATATCAACCAACCAAACAATTCCAAAAAAACAATGGTAAATCATCCTTTGTTTAGTCATCAATAGATTTGCTGACTTATAGCGTTGAATGTCAAACATAATTGAATATCTTCCTTTCATGTAAGAACTGGTTTGCATGCATGTCGCATCAAGTTATGTCAAACTTAAATAAATCGCAACCAAATTAAGTATAAAATATATAGGTCCGTGATTGTCTAGGGATAGATGAAATGTGTTGTGTGCCAAAGTTTATTACAATACAATTTTAACGATCGCAAATTATCACTTAAACATACGCTTTAACTCAATGTAGTATTCATGTGAAACAAAGGTGAATCATATCATATAATAACCTGGTCATGATCACCATGATGTTTATACTACTATAAATAACAGTCATATGCCAAAAATGGCCTCTGCTTTTTAAATTGCCAAAGTATTTTTGACCAGTAACATTCATGTAAATATTAACCAATATTTTCGTTATGTTTTCATTTATACCTGAAACAGTTCTGAATATGTTAACTTCACAAATGCATGTATATTACAAATGTTGATAACCTAGGAAACACTTTACAATACCAAGGTTATTGTGCTTTGATATTCTAAGATAGCCGTGATCACTATATAAATATAGAGTGTTCTATTCTGCGCACTTGATTGAATTAGTATTATTGTCGCAAGAATATATCTAATTTATCAACAATTTAGAGGATAAATCCGTTGGTAATAAGGGGAAGGGAGTAAGTCGGGATAAACAAGGCTGGATAAAATGATAAAAACTAAATATGTTTAGACAAGAAATGGGACAAGCAAGGCACTAAATAGATACCAAACAAATGTACGGAAAGTTTATATCAACGGTATATATTCTGAATGAATAGCACTTATAAACGTGAAGATTCTATAGCAAAACGTCGAAAGTGTTATATATTAAACCATCTTAAACTGGATTTTCCTGGGTTTTTACAGTAACTGGCGAGTTCTCCCACTGTGCAGCTGTGGTAACAACACTCACATGAAATCCCTTTCCTGTAAAAGGAAACCCTTTTGTCGAGGAAACTGCTAGCCTTAGACTCGGGTAATAATATGTCCACAATCGGCTGTTTGTTATCTAGTTGAGCATTTTGTTGTTTATGTAAGGCTAGAAAAGTTTTAGCATCTAAATCTGAAAATGTAATATTGGATTTAAAGCAGAGTATCAATATAACGAAACATTATAATATACTACTTTACACTATGAGTGTCTTTTCATTTGCATCATTATTATTATTATCAATTCTTAAGCATTTGTATTATCTTTCTACAAATCAATATCTAGCATTTAAAGTAATTAATATGTAGAGGGTATGTGTTTGATATATTTTTCTTTCATCGAGTCAGCTCAAACAACAGTATTTTCTCACGTAGTCAATTTGATTCTTAAGTTCGCGCAGTCACAAATGAAAATACTTTTTAAGCCTACGACAAGAATAACATTAACATCATACACAATTTTTTATTTTATTTTTAATAGTATTTCTTTTAGGATTGCTAAAATAAGAAACAGTTTTTGATATATGAGTATTCATTAAAAGCGAGAAATACTTTGAAAGGCTAACCTCAATTTACATCATTATACCTATTCAAATATTTATCTCTGGCATAAAACTGCACTTGGGGTTTTACTCGAGGCGTTACAGTTATTGGTCGGATGATGCATGAAAAATGTTGTCAAAACAGTAGTGCATATTGAAGGATTTATAATAATTGTTTGCTGATATTATGGTCAAAGACATGCAACAAAGAGTCCTTTTTCCTTATCTAATATAAAGAATAAAGTTACTTAGTTTGCTGTGTCTGATTTCATAATTTTGATCAATACAATCAGAAACTATAAAAAAAAGTAGTTTTTTTCTTGTCAAAGGCAAATTAAAGGGTATAATCAGATCGGATCGGTTACCATAGATTTTACATTCGGTGTATTTCTAAACAATGGTGGATGGAATATATTGCACAAATATATTCATTTTTACTAACTAGCATTAGCTTTCATGAAATTGTACCTAAAAATCAAATATGAAACTAATTTTTTTCTTTATGCAATACTGAGTCTTCATATGGTACTTGGACGGTGGCTTGCACTTTCCAGTACCGTCCATGATCAGGCTCAATCAAACCGAGTCGGCAACATTTTCAATTTTGTCGTTTTGGACGTTCTAAAGGGATTCCGTTTTTCTCTATTTTATAAAAAAAGGAACAAAAACTACAGTAACTGTAAAATACGTACCAAGTATATCTGGTTCAATTCTAGACACTGAGCGTTTTCTGTACTTTCTTTCTACAAATCCGCCTTCTCCACATAAAATTTCTAATGCCTCGTCTATCTTGCTGCCACAAACACCCTTCAATTATAGAAAAGATTGTTATCAGCTTTGAAAGTTCAATAAACGTGGGGGAGCACTAATTAATTGAATAACCTCTAATGTCTTGTGCAATAAAGGATTTAATGAGACGAACCATGATTCGAAGATATTTTATTGAACCAAATAAAAAACATATACATTAAGAATATAATGATAAAAATAATATACATAAATAAAGATAATATGAATAAATCATATATTTTTTCCGTATAGGAATAGTTACAACATTTAAGATAAAGATATGAACTAAATATAAAATAACAATATGAATACTTTTTATTAAGTCTACCATAATCAAAAGAAAAAAAACGATATTGAAAATGTTGGCACATATTGTACTTTAAATAACTGTTACGATATGAAACTATTTTCGATTAGATTAAAGTAAGAATTTGAGATTCATTTGTTTGTTTCAACTCCTTTTTGTTATGGCTAATGAAATATCGAATTACTTTTAGAGATAGACAGTTGTGTAGGTGGGCGGTTTTCGGTTTACTTGTTCCTAATGAACTTATTTATAGATTGCCAGATTGTCTTGTTCCGATTTCCTTTATTGTCCTAGATTTGTTAATTATGTAAGATTTAATAATTCAAGGGACTGGTGCAATTTAATGAATTTATTTAAACTTTGTTAAAACTCGTTGCATTCTTCAATACTAATTGGGAACTTGCATACAAATAAGGTTCTCATTACAATTTATTTCTGTTGAACTAAAGGGTTATTCTAGAGAGATATAGGTCTGTAAAAATCGAAATCGTTTGATTCTTTACTTGTTTCCAGTATAAGAAAGCTCTCCAAACAGAAATACATGTATTTCAGAAAGGTAAAAATGTCCATTTAATAAAATTATTAGTTTGAAATGTCCATAGAAGAGAAAGCGAGTGTCAATAGATATAAAATAACGAATAAATGATCGAAAATAAGCAAAGCCATTTAAGTTATTTACAAACTGCACCCACAAATTGATATTTAGTTCGACATAACAGTAAATATTTCTTGATTTTATTCATTAAGTAAGGATTCTTTGTGGCTCAAACATTGTATGAATCAACATGAACGAATCGGAAGCGGAAGAACAATGAAGTAGCCGCCTAAGTAACACATCTGTACTTGCTGGTATTATTGTCAACAAAAACTGGCTTTATCTTTTATTGTTGAATGCTTTTTGAAACAACACGGTTTCACATAAATTATATTTCCAGACAAAAAACACAATAGCAATCAGCTCGCAGTAAAACTGCACTCGAATTTCGTTTATTTTATGACACTGTCCTATTGAGCGTTAAATGCCAGTAGTTCTATTCAAGTACTTGATTTTCGATGAAGATTTTTGAGAGAAAAATCAGATTCATTTTAAAGATTGTTAAAGTAAGTTTTTAAATCGTTGATCTGGAAGAAAGGCTTATAGAATAATATGAATTATATAATATGATAAAATAATAGTCATATATATTACACTTACAGCTTTGTGGGGTTTCGTGTAAGGGGAACATGGTTTCATTTGTCCACCACAGCTCACCATTGTTAAACACAATCCTAACAGGAATATACAAATAGACTCAAAACATACCCCACCCATCATCTGATTCGACCTGGAAAAAAATTCGTTCATTTATAAACTTATTTTCATTTATTTCTCCAATACAAGGTCAAAGTTATAAAAACGTTATGTGTCCTTTTTGACGACAACAAATATTATATATAAATGAGCAGAAAAGTTTTGCTTTCTGAAATATTATATTCTGAAATAACTTTAAATACGATATGCAGCAAAAATAATATTATAAAACTAGTGTTATAATTTTTTCTATCTTTTTTAACGTTTTAATGAAAAGGAAGCAAACTACATAACGTTAAAAAATCCAACAACAATTTGCGGTATTTGACATGATGAAAACAATACACATTTGAGGTTTCTAACATGAATAAAAACCAACATAAATTTTCGGTTTTCTTGCATGAATAAAAACCAACATAAATTTTCAGTTTCTTACATGAAAAAATACAAATCTGTGGTTTCATATGTAAGAAAAGAACAATAAACTGCGGTTTCTTACATGAATAAAGAACAGTTTCTTACATGAATAAAAAACAATACAAATCTGCGGTTTCTTATACTATTACAAAAATAAAACACAAACCTGCATAATAATAAATAAAAACAAAATTTTCAGTATCTTTCATAGAAAGAATCAAATCTGTAATATTTTACATGAAAGAGGAAACAAAATATCTGGTTTATCTTATATCAAATTAAAAACACTCAATGGTATAAAAAACACACATTAGAAATTGTTTAAGAAATCTCAGTTATGCTATTCAAAGAAAATGCCATTTCTTTCAAGCAAATATATGAGAATCATAGAAATACTGTCTCACATGTCAGGAAAATATGATTTTCTTAGGAGACATGAAAACGATTTTTGAATTGTCCTATTAAGCTTTAATTATCTTGATAAAGAAGGCTTTGTGTCAGGTATAAAATAAACTTATACCCAGCCGTGTCACGACAGTGTAAAATACTGCATATTTAATGTGACGTGTTTCAATAGCAAGAAAACGTAAACGTGAACTATTTTAAGTGTAGGCACACAAGAAAATTATCCTTACACTAAGAGCTTGAAAAAAAAACAATAATTAATGAAATGATAAAATTGCAGTTTATAAGATTTTAAAAATACAATCATCTCATATGAGCAATTAATAGACTTGTAAGAATACGAAATCATGGTAATGTTATATATGCCCTAAACAAACTGCAGGAAACTCGAATATTAGGTTTTAAAATTGTTCTCTTTAATGAATCAATACATCTTATAAAGTCGCATTATGTCGAGGTGTAATAAATAACCGGTGTTAAGCAGTGCTACAGCTGTCTGGTATAACACTTATTTATTGCCAACATTTTGTAAAAAATATAGCTTTTCAAACATAACAAATGTAATTAAAAGAACAAAGACTTCTAAAACCTACAGTACAGTATTAGAAAAGGTAAATCTTTATCATTCCGAATGAAGATAATTAACAGAAAATGCTGACAACATCAAAGAGATATTTATGATACTAAATGGTTATCTATTTAAAACATTTTCTAAAAGAAATTTCGAAAAATGATGAATTTATTAAAATTATATCTGAAATGAACGCGCAGAGAAATTTATGTTTTGGTTAGGGTTTAATTTGTATTACGTATATTTTATGAGATGAACCTAAAAAACGAATGACAAATAGAATTTTATGTGTATTGATAATTCAAACTATGTTCTTTTATGTTAATGTCTGTTCATAACTTTTAACAGTTTGTTTTAGTTTTGATACCCAACCTTATTCCCTCACCTTTAACTGACCTCAAATTTCAATCATATGTATTCTTAGTCACATAAATAATTAGCGCCAGAACGCTGATAATGAGCTACTATTGTGCATAATAATGTTACATGATTTAATATCTGACGTCAACTATAATCTGTCGTGATAAATTAATCCTACTGTATAGTTAGTTTTGTATGTTGATGCGCTTACGTGATCTTCTTTACAGACTACTTCCCCATTCTGCTAGAGACTTTCTGGTAGTTAACCTATATTTACAACAATTGTTACGGAAGGTACATATAGCTTCTATAAATAGTGACATATTTTGGACTGAGGTAGGACTTCTTGACTACAAAAGCGCATTATGAAATGAATATTTTTCTTCTCGAATAATGACAAAAAGGCTTTTGATAATGTTTAATTAAGAGATTTAAAACATACATATTTTAGACTTATCATAAGTATGAAGCTTTGAATCTGAATATTTGTCATAGAGGTGAAGATAGTGGTATTTAAACTTCTATACAAACACTTAATAACTATAACTATACTAAATTCAAAACAACAAAACAGAGACATAGATGGTTCAACTATATGGCCAGCGAGTGCTTATTTAGAAACTGTAACGCTTCATCTAAACTTTGACATTTTAATGAAAATAATAATATATGGAAGCATTATGGACCTTTCAGAGACAAATCTTTCGTGAAAAATAACCCCCTCCTCCCCAAAAAAAGAAGAAAGAAACAGCTATCATTTTAGACTACTAGAATACAACATTTTCACGTAAAATCATCAAAAAGAGTACACAATCTTCCATGTTCACAAAGTTTAAAGAGTCATGATCTATTTTCAAATCTATTTTAAATATTATCACTTTATTATTTTTTAATTTATTTATTTATTTATTATTATTTTTTTGCATATGTGTTTTATTATGTTTAACCTAATATGGCCAATGTAAGATGTAAACACCACATTTAAAATACAATCAAGATCAATTTTCATTGTGAACCTTACAACACCTTTCTACAATCTTCCTGTGATAGTTTTAAGTAAGATTCCATTTGATCAGAATCAATGTTATAACTGTAGTGTTTATTTAAAATTGATTAAAAACTAAAAAAAGCTAAACATAGTATCTTTAAAACTAGCAAACTATTTATCGACCGGAATTGTACAATGACAGACATATTGAATTGAAAATTGTTTGAAAGAGTTCTTAATTGGAATACCAATGACAAGGCGTAGGTACATCCAACGTTTTTTTTTATTATATATAGACCGTTATCTTAACATCTAATTGTTTTTACGACGACTTTAAGTTAAAGACAAACGACTTTCGCGTAATGCCTTGTTAATAGAGCCGTATTTAAAGTTTTAAGAGCGAGTTTCCTTATAAAGAATATGTGAATTTATCTTGATTAGTTTTGTTGAACTTTAATGTAATTAATCGCAGCTTGAAATCTATTCATTGACACAGTCACTGTGTCGAATTATAGCTTACTGAGTTGATGGCATTATGGACCATTTAAATGTAGATTGTTCTATTTTTGCAAATGTATATCGCAAATGAAAACGAATCTGAAAAGCCTTGTTTGAACATGTAACATTCAAGTAAAATGCAAATTTCGGTTGCATTTTTCCCATCAATAATTTTAATTTTAAAGAGTTACACGAAATGACTAAAACACGCTTTATAAATTACACGTTTCTTTAAAAATGTTTTGATTTTATCTGCATGTCTTTTGTATTAAGCTGTTTAAGTCTCGACAAGGGAAGTTGACTGAACTTTGAGATAGATGAATCTGTCAATCGCGTGACGTCAATTTATTATACAGAAAAAACATGTTTAAATAGCGTGATATACAAGACATTGGTGAACCAATACTAGCATGAAAGAATCGCATGGTATCAATTATTTGTTTCACATATTATATAAAACGTTACTCGTTTACATCATGACGCTAGAGTTTAAGATGTACTTAGAAATATAATCTTCTATGAATAACATTTATGTCATTTTTATAAAATTTGAGTCATTGACATGTTTGCGTGTATGTGTTGTGTGTTTTATTTTTATATATAGTTATTATCATATGTATAATCTGTCTTAATTTAACTCAACAGTCAGAGTATTTTAACATTCCACTTTATATACTGCTGAAATTGTAATATAGATTTGATCTGTTGAGAATTTGGAATAATTTTGGTATACTGTAAGTCGGCTTTATTACAAAAGACTAAATTCAAGCTATTTAACAGTATAAAGACCGTGCAGGATGGCCTGGAAAACTCTTAAATAAATAAAAAATATTTCATTGATCTATAACCTTTGTCTGAATATCACTCCTTAATAAAGACAGAAATATTCTCGCTAAAATCCTTACTAATTACTTTTAGGTACAGCCAATTGTTAAACATCAAAGTATAAAGGATTGGCAAGCCATATATGATTCCATTTATTATATTATAATCAGATTATTAATTATTAATACGTGATACATTGCCCTGCTTAAAAGGGCTATAATTCAATATTGCACTAGACAAACTACCCATTATTTTAGGTATTGGTTAGCATGTTATATACATAAACATGAAAAAAAAATATTGAAAAAATTTGAAAGTATTTTTAAAGTTGAGAGTTTTTTCTTTCTTGGTTTGGCCAAAGCAAAATGAGTATTAGATTTAACTATATTTCGTTAAAGATTAAGCAAAATTAGGCTAAACTACGAAATGAGAACGAGTGATATTGGCTATCCATGATGTCAAAAACAACAATAACAACAATCGTTAAAATAAGAATAATTTGTACAATAGGTTTTTGATCAAATAAAGTTGTTGTAAGAAATAAGAAATTTTCGTTGCCTTCTTTCATTTTAAATTAACGATGAATAAATTAAATTGGAATTTTCAAACGTTTTGTATTTTATATTATTACACATATTTAATAATTTATATGTTTGAATTTATTTATTAAGTACATAATATCAAATTGTGATAACGTTGTAATAAATAGGTGACATACGTTTAAAGCGGCCTTCGGCTTTGATTTTCTGCTGGAAAAACAATTCTGTGTTGTTTCAAGCTAAGTACATCAATTTTAACTTGGAACAGTGCATCATATTTAAGAAACAGCGTCCCGAGAGTTATTTATAACGCACCAGTGACGTTTGTTTCTAAAAATAGAAGATTGAAAAAAGAATCGTCTGCTTGACTTATTTAAATATAGAGACCGGGCCGGTAGGTTAGAGGTATCGATGAATTTCCTCATTGTTGA